ACCACATAAACCTTTAACTCTAACTTAATTATTAATTAATTACTATCTTACCAGGGGGACGCCTTTGATAAGTATAGTGTGTGTATTTTTCTTTTAATTATTTTCTTTATTTTTATTTAGATTAGGCCAACACCTAAATAGTGGAAATCCTAGCTAGGTGAGGTCAGTTAAGAGACTGAATCATAAATATAATAATCAGTGTAGAAAGTATCACAACAGATACTTCAGATATTATAAATATCATTAAGACATGCCGGCTCAGGCAGATAACAAAGAACTGCTGAGAAAACGTTACTGGAAGGGAAGTAAGGAAACTTGCCCTGTAAATAATTAAATAGCTTGAGCACTATAGTGAAAGAAAGTAATCAAAGAATTAAATAATTGGATACTGCCAGAAAACAGAATAAATATTAGTTTAAATAAAAATCAAGAGATTTGTGTGAGACACGGATTTTGATCTCACAATATATGAAAAATTTCACTCATCTCTACATCCCCAAGAGTAAAGTTTTTTTTTTCAATATTCTTAAAAAAAAATACTTAGACATGTTCTCTGACATTCATTTTATAACATAAAGTAAAAAAACATTATCTTATGATACTAAAATATAGTACTATTTTTTTACACAAAGTTGACAATTAGCAAAATTTGTGACATTTTTCCTCTGCTGATCCCTATTTGGAGTTCACTGATTCATAGGCGGATCATCAATTAAATTTTATCAAAATTATAGTATTTTAAAATAATGAACCACCAAACACTCACACCTATTTATATTATTACTATTGTTATTTTTTTATTCTAATTTGCTAAGACTTACAAATTACATGATGGAAATTTAGCACATTCTTAGAATTAAAATAGAAATCTAATGCTAACTCTAGAATAAAATATTTTAAGAAATCATCATATTTGCATCCAATGGAATTTTAAGAGAATATTGCTTGATAGAATATACAATTGTTGGTGTTCTTTTTGCATCATTTCCTTGTTTTGTTTGAAACTTCTGCTTATTAAATGTTGAATAAATTTCATCTGGAACTGCAAAATACAGGTCTGCTGCTTTTCCTTCATTCTGAACTTTATTAAGATGTCTAATTACTTTATTAATCCCATTTTGTTTAATGGAATGTAAATTTGAAACTGTCATTTGAAAAAGTAAATGATTTGAAGATATAGTTCCTGGAATGAATGCATCAATTGATTCAAATGAGTGTATGGATGGATAACAATAAAAACCTTGATGTTCTGCTGTTATTTCTTCAAGTTTTGAAAACTTAAAGGTTCCTTTCACAGTCAAATTTAATTCATTAGTTAAAGAAGCAGATGTTTCACTATTAGGTTTATATTTTTTCTTTTGTGTATCTCCTTCTCTTAACTCTTCTTCTGACTCTAATAATTTTATTTCATATTTTCCACCATCTTTTAGCATTTTATGTGCAAACTCTTCAAACAAATTACCACGAATACCACCTGTAATTGATTCATCTTCGCATGCTTTTAAAAAATTACGTAATGAAAACCTTTGTTCATTTAAAAATCTTTGATATATCCTTTCTCTGATGGTAGAAGTGGCAAATTGAACTTTGCATTGTTGAAAAGTTTGTGGATCTACTACAATGTGAATTATCACATGAGAAGTATCATTGGGTGCATCAATCTCACCAATAAAATTTATTATCTTATCAAGGCTACAAGTTTTAATAGCTCTCTCTATCTCTTTGAAGGCAATTTCTTTTTTCCATTCAAAAATATACCAAGCTATGCCTCCACATAATTCATATAATTCTTTTGCATCATCTATGGATCTAGAAAGATATAATGAATTACAAGCATCTTCTATTTCATCTATTGTCCATGTAGGCATGTAATAGGGTTGCCACCTCCGCAGTTTTTTTACAACTTTTGTTATCTCTCTTCTAGGTGAAGTAAGAACTATTATTGTTGCAGGATAATTTGAAGGTATCATACCATCAACTATGTATATTGTTGATTCTAAATTTAATACTTTGCTAAATTCACTCAGAGTTTTCCCTTCAAAAACTTTATGTTCTTTTGATGAAAAATAAAAAACACTTTCTGGATAGTTGAAATTTTGATAAATTATTTCCTTTTTTAATTTTGCAAATTGATAAAATAAGTAAAGACCAAAATATGACTTTCCTATGCCTGGATTACCAGTTATTAGAAATAATGAAGCATTTTCATTTTTATTTTCATCTTGAATTTCATTTTGGATTTTTTCATAAATCTTATTATAACTCTTTCTAATAAGGTAGGATTGTTGTTTCCAGAATAAAAAGGAAATGCCATTTGGAAGTGAAAAAATGTTATTTTGCACCAAGCTGTCTGAGTCAAGTAATGTTTTCCAAAAAAGTTGTATGTTTTCATCAGCTTTTAATTCATGATATTATTTTAGAATCAAAATTATAAATTAATTAATAAGCCAATTTAGCAGTATAAAGAGTATATAAAAACAAATAAAGATGCTTACCCTCATTAACTAGATGATGAGAATATTTTAAAAATTGATAGATGGTAGGAAAAAAGTAATTAAAAAAAAGTAATAAAAGAAAAAAGCACAAGTTAGTTAATATTCTCTCAAACAAACAAATAAATAAAACGAAATGGAATGAATGAAAAATAATTTTTTTTTTTTATGCAATTTGTTCATTACCTTCTTCTTTATTAAATTTTGTTAATTCTTGTTGTAGAAATACCACCTGATCTCCCCACATCTTCTTCTCTGCTTCCAACAACTTCTTCTCTTCGATTAAGTATTTCCTTTCTCCATCCCATTTTTCTTTCTCTCCTCCCAACAACTCATTTAGCCTTTTCCCTTTATTCTCCTTCTCCCACTCCTTCAAATTCTTTGTTGCCTCATCCAATCTCACTTCTGCTTTGTTTAATTCTTGTTTGATTTCTTCTTTTGTCGCCATTTTTTAAAAAACTAAAAGATTTAAAATTAATTTTTTTGAAAAAAAATTTTTTTTATTGATTTAGATCGTAATTGTTACTAATTGTTACAATTGTTTCTATAAATAATTTGGACCAATGATAAATTAGTGGGCATATGACTTGCAATTAAAAAAATTTTTTTTTACAGACAAATGAATTAAACGACAAAAGAAAATTATTTTTATTTTAATTCAACTAACAATAGAAAAATACATAAATAAACAATTTATAAAAATATAAGTTAAAGAGTTGTCAGAGCACTTGCATGGGAGGAAAATACTTGGACCCAAAGCCATTTGTAAGTATTACCTATTCTTTGGGCACTCTGACAAAAATTCAACTTTCACTATTACTACTGC